GGGGGGAGGGGGTGAGTAGGTTCTGAGGATTTTTTCTTGTGTCACAATAGAATTTCCCTCATCCCCCCATAAGGCTCTGTGTTGTTCTTACTTCCTCCTCGTCATTGTCAGTAAACTGGCAGTCAGTCTTATCAGTCATCCCATAATACTATGTTAGTGACGACTCTTCCCTTCTCTGTTTCCACTGAAAACTATGTGATCCCCCTAAAATCCTTTGTCCGTCCCTTCCCTCCCGACGATAAATATGACTAGGTAAGAGAAATTTACACTTTGAACAATAGCTGGAAACGATCCAGGCTGGACAGGTTTTGAAGCTGCGACTCACTGTATTGTTCCTCAGATTTGAATCATAAGACATGGCTCCGATCCCCTTTACGTTACTTGGACTTTCGCGAAACTGGACCCCGGTCTTTGTTTCGGAAATCGGCCCTTACCTCTTTGACTCCCACGATTGAGCAAGACAGAATTTCTCCTTACGATATCAATACAATATCAAGCAGACAAGTAATGAGAACAAGGAAAAAAGAAAATCAGGGCATTATCAGTTGATCCAATACCAAATTGTCCAAACTTACCTGATAAGAATTGTATAGCAGACAGTAATGAGAATTACTAATGAATCTTGGGATCGAAAGGGTCAAAGTGCCAATATGTAATTCTTGTTAGTTTTGTTCCGAGTAGACAAAATTTGTCAAATAAAGAATTCCATTAGTAAACGCCCTTAGATTTAAATTGCCTTACTTTCAAGAGTGGAAAAGAGTCATTTGAAATTTATTGTAAAGGCTTTACCATTTACATAATTTAACATGAAAGTTAAAAGAAACTTCTACGATACGTTTAACTTTGATGGTCGATTTTGACGGAAATTATGGATTTTGACGGAAATTATGGATAGGGAGTCTGAGTCACGCACAAAAGGAGGGGGCCAAAAATTATTCCCCTGGCTTCTTGCTTGCAGCTAAGGGTATTTTTTTCCATCAACAAATTTTAACCTCAGTCACTATTTCAGAAAAGGGTCCACATAACTAATTGTGCCCTAAAACCTTTTTGAACAGGTTCGGTTGTCCAAGGAGACTTATATAACTGACGTGGCTACTCAAGGTCGATATGGTGGGAGTCAGTATACGTCTTCATATACACTGAAGTATCTTGATCCCTATATCAGTTCACCAGAGACATGGAGAGATGTAAAGGTGGGTACTTTGTGTCTCGAAAGGCTAATCTATGGCTTTTTCCACTCGCGGGCTCCATATTTAACGCAAATTTTTCAAGAAACTATCAGTCTTTTGAAAGCCTAACGAAAATGAATGTTGTTTACATTTATTAGCCATATAAATCAGGATAAATCCAAAACGAAACTTTCGTTTTTAAGAAAAAAAGTGCAACTCCAACTGCAGTACTAACTCCATTGGCACAGTAGACAATTTATGATTAGTTCTTTATTGAGCAGAGTTTTATTCTGGAGTTTATAGTCTGTGACAAGCAAGTCTATACTCTCTAGGGAAGCCAAGGTAGATTTGTGTGTTGTCACGTTTCTGTCACATAATATGTGACGGTGTTTTGGTTACACTTGCGTCACGATTGTCTAGCTAACCTAGTCCCAGAGGCTTTGCTTGCTCTTTTCTTCTCCGTTTTTTTACGAGCCGCGAAGCGGTGAGAAGTAAGCGAAAGCCTCTGGTTGGAGACGGTTAGAAACTCACTTTCATGCAAAATAACATGTCAATCAAACAGCCAATCAAATAGCCAATCAAAACAGAGTTTCGCGCTGATTTTTTGATGCTTAGGGAGGGGAGGTCTAAACATTAAAACTACTTTAGGGGGGATAGCACATTTTTGTTATTACACACACACGTGCTGCATAGGAAGGTGACAGATCAGTGGTTGGGTCCGAAATCGCGTAACGGAAGTCTGCTCAAACGACTGTCTGACGTTCTTGATGCGGAGGTTTGAGTTAGGTTTGCGGAGGTTTGCTAAGCAGCATCTGCCTCCACTTCTCATTTTGAAGAAAGCTTTCCGGACTGCCAAAAACAAACGAATACTCTCCTCGAAGAATGGCATCATCATTGACTTCATCGCCGCTCACAGCCGCCCCTGTTAGACCATAGCTTTGTAGTTCGCGAATGTGCGATTCCATCAATGATTTCAGAGGAAAAATGACCACAATTATTGGATTCTTTGGATAAGAATATCCTCTTACTGACAACTGAGGGCAAAGATCAGGCTGAATCTGAAAAATCAATGACTTTCCATGTCCTGTTGGCAATACGGTGAAGACGTCTTTCATGTTAATGAGGCCGTGAAGTGCTTTCTTTTTCTCTTCTGACAGGGCTTGGATGTTCTGGAAGCGGTATTCGAGAGCTATAGACACTATCTCTTCGAAAACAGTCTCCGAAACGAATTGATTCATGAAGAAATTTTAGAAAATGCAGAATACTTGAAAATACAACACATGTTGGCTCAAAGTGACAAACTTGAAAAAAAAAAAACTATCCCCACCCTGGTTAAATGGCAAATAGAAATAAAATTCCCTCACCCCTCACCCCCATGACAAACTCTTTTAAACCGATCACAGGCGAGGTGAAAAATTGACCAATCAATGAGCCAGAACAAATTTGTGAAATCTTTAATTTGATTGGCGCGGTGAGATCAGTCAATTAACCGTCTCCAACCAGAGGCTTTCGCTTACTTCTCACCGCTTCGCGCCTCGTAAAAACTACTCGCTGCTTCGCGGCTCGTACAAACATAGAGAAGAAAAGAGTAGGCGAAGCCTCTGAGACCAGGGTATTGTCTAGCTGTTGCCAAGTCGATCTTCCTGTTTAAAAGGTAGTTTTTCGTCGTTTAAATTTGTGAACCAGTTATCACTTTAATTTACGAATTTATTTAGTTATTCTATTCAAATAGACAGTAGGAAGGTATCCCGTTATAGCTTGACAATTGCTTGCGAAGGTAATGAACCGATGTTCAGTGTATTATCAAAATGTTGCTGTTTCTTTTGAGTGAATGCCATTATCTTCGTAAAAATTGACAATTATTTTGGTAATTTTGCAGGAGAATGGTGAAGAAAAGACCTTTACAGGAAACTCGAACACGAATACAGCCAAGCAGAATGCTCTACCAGCGGATGTATACACGAAAGCTATTCGATTTTATCCGAAGACATTCAGCGGGGGGGGAATCGCTCTCAGGGTTGAACTCTATGGCTATCCTGCAGGTTTGTAAAAATATTCTTACATTATTGCAGAATGAAATTTAATTTGATGTATCACTAGAGATGCAAATCCTTCCTTGGCCGTTACATTTTTATGAAATTCGGTCAATCGTTGTCATTTCATCTGCAAGGCTGCGTCATTGCATGCAGAGTGGTCTGTTTCCCATAACAGTTGGAGACCTAGTGGCAAATGTTCGAGTGAGAAGAAGATAAAACGGCAGTTTTGCCCTTCAAGGAAACTTTCGAAGCCTAAAACGCTGTTTTATCAACTTCTCGGTCGATTTTTTGCCCCTCGGTCTTCGAGGATGGTTCCCCTTTACCGAGTACAGTTATTTTGCGTCACGCAACGCATTACGCCAGTTACAGTTGGAATGACTGATAAGTTTTTGCACGAAGAATGCTCTTTTCTTACTTGGAAAGCTAGGAAAAATTACTAAATTGAATTCATCTAGAGGAAAATGCGTGTAATTACCGTTATATCATTTTAAATGTGCCAATTTGCCGCCTGGGTGTCAAGTGTATTTCAAAACCGTTATTGAGGTCTTGAAAATGCTGCAATTTATCTTTGCGGCCAAATTTTTTTTACCATGCCGACCGACCCTACTCCGGTTAATGCCCGTGACCCCCCCCCTTGGTAGGTCTTCTTTAGGGCAAATAACCTACAATATTCAGGTGGCGAAAACGCCATCACAATATCTTGGCCGTAAAAGCCATTCATATGGACCTTCATGCCGCGATAATACGACTGAGCCCGCTGATACACGCGGGAGAGCAGCGGTCTGAATGGTGAGTAGCCTCGATGACCCCTCCTTTGAAAAATCCTGGCTACGCCCCTGAATTTAATTTTCCTGGCGACAAGAATTTATACTGTTTCCTTCACTGCAGATCTTGCCAGCAAACCGGCTTGCAGCTATGTGCTCCCCCAAGGTATGTGTAATCATATCCCTAAGAGTTGTCAATGAATGAGTACATTAGGTTGGTACCTCTGAGTGTACGATGATGATCTTCTTGTTGACAAGGATTTCCTTGGGGGAGTTGGGGGCAGGGGAGGCCCGTATAGTGTAAATGCCTCTCTCTGGACTGGTGGCGTGAGTTTTTTTACACCAACTGCAAAACGCGGTGAGGCAAATCTTACACAGTCGTGGATTACCTTTGAAAGTAAATCGAAAATAACTCCCTTCAATGGGAATTGATGTGCAGTTTTATAAACCAACAGATGGCAATCCTGAACCAGGGGGATCGGGAACAGTTTACTTCGACGGCTACAAAAGCGGTTACAGACATCGGGTGCTGAGTGTTGACAACCAGGGACGGCGACCGAGGGTAAGTTTCAACGACCTCTGGTGCACAAAACCAATAGACACTGTTTTGGAGAAAAAAAATCAAAAGATCCAGAAAAATGAAATAAACCAAAACAAGCAAATGAGGGACCAGTCATTCATTTCGCCCGGGGAGGGGTGGGGGGTGGGGAAAAAGGGGGTTGGAGGATTTTGTTTTTGTCATAGGGCACTGTAACATTCTCATGACCCCCCGTCATTGGCAGTTAATTGGCTGTCAATTTTCTATAGTCCCCCCCTTTATATACTCTGTTGATAGCAGTCGATCCCTCCTTTGTTCTCCTTGAAAACCATATGAATACCCAAAATCTTCTTTGGCCCGAAGATAAATAGTGACTGGTTCCTAAAAACAAAGAAAAAGGGAAAGAAAAAAAAACAACAACAAAAAAAACGAAAGCAAAAACGAAAAAGCAACACAAACTTTCACACTAGAAAGTAGAAGGTCTAGGAGTGTAATTCCCCCCCGTTTCTTAAATAAAAAGAGCTTATTTATGAAACTAACTAAGCGACACATCCCATATTTCAGCGGACCGCCCGTGAGGGACAGCTTTATTAGAAGACTCCGGTTCCTCTTCTAGAAATTTAGTGTAGTATTTCAATTGAGTGTAGTATTTCACTGTAATTGCTAGATGTCTTTTACTGTTTCACCATTAGTAATGGTTGAAACAGTGTAATAGCTATATGATTCATGTGAATATTACTTATTAATAAGAGCTTTTTGTCGAATCTCCTTACTTACAGGTCAACAGTTCGTCAGATGTCAGCGTTTTCCAGCAAACAGGTAATATAACCCATGAACCTTGGTCACGTGACTGGCTAGTCACGGACTGGTTTCCGTTACTTTTTGCTTCCTTTCAGAGCACGGTTGGTCTGCTTAAAAAGGTCGAAGCTAGGATTTCTCGTGGCGGTGGGGGGGTGGGGTGGGGAGGTGGGAAGTAAGGGGCTACAGTTACGAATTTTCGCGCACCGTACGTGAGGTGGCTTGTACCACTGCTCCACCGTGTGTATTAGTGAACCCGTATTCGTGCGGTGAGGAGAACTGGCAAATGTCTAGTCCTGGAATAGTTTCTTGCCATTTAGACTCTTCAGATTTTTACGGAAGGAAGCCAGATCTCTTTACGGAAGCAAGAAGCCAGATCTTTTTACGGAAGCAAGCCAAATCTCCCGCTGGTCAAATGGACCCATCTGTTGGTGAACGAGAACTCAAGGCTCACTTTAGCGTGCTCAGTAGGAGAGCATTGGTAGACACCTAGTGGTATTCAAAGTGGAGTAGTCCAGACCTCTTTATCCATCAGAGACTGAGCTTATTTTAACAATTTCATAACCAAAAAAATAAATTCTATACACTAACCGATTAATCTAATTCCTATGGCAGGTGCTGTGACATGGGTTACAATCTCCGCTGATCGTAAGATAGAAGAGGTGGAAATATCAGGAGGAGCTCAACTTGTCATCGCAGGCTCAGCTAAAAACCTGACCGTCGAAAACATAACAGACGACAACACCGGCTACTTGTATCTTCTGTCATCCATGCAACTGCAAATTAGCTCCCTATTGTCACCTTGCACGCTAATATATCACGGAGCAGAGCTCATCTTATCCGACCTGGCACCAAAGGTCTCTCTTGAACGCTCGGTTGATGTACATGGTACACTGTCCGTTTTTGGTGCCCCGAGTGTCTACATAGGAGCGCAACGGGGAGTGTTTACAATGCATCCGGGATCTGGGCCGAGTTCGCTTAGCTTTGGAGAACTCATTATCGAGTCGTCAGGTCATCTGGAGTTGTTGAACTATGATATACAGTCTCCGGCCTCTTGTCACTGGTCTTTGGTTCTATCTTCCTCCAAATTTACCATATGCGATACTGCCAAAATGGATGTCAACTGTCCGTTTAATCTAACAGGCGATCAAATGAGCATCGGGCTTAATTCTGCACTGAAAATAAACGGCAACAGCTCAGTTTCGTATGTTGCTTTGAACGACGTCGCCATAAGTGGCACATTTGATCCAGGAGTTCTTTCCCTTTTAGAAGGTTGGAAATCCCTCAGGATTGAACGATACGGTGATTTGAGCTTTTTCCCTCACGGTGATGTACGACTCAACAGATTTTACTCCAACGGAAACTTTCACGTCGAAGGAGTCGTTTACTTGCGAGGGAGAGATCCCGCGGTTACTCAGTTAATCGAAGTTGACGAATATGGAAGTGTGCAGTTTGACCTGCCCCTTAGTTCGAACTCTTTGGTTTTTGTGCACAACAACTCGCAAGACTTCGGCTCCCATGGCAGACTGTCGCTAAACGGAGTGTCCATCGTTCATGCTGACATTGTTATTATTGATGGAATTTGGTTGCCAAAGAAGTTAAAAATTGAACCAGGATGGAAAAACCTGACTGTGGAACACGGAGGTAAATTCCACTTTGAACCGGTTGGAATTTTTCAACTTAACAACTTTCTCCTTGATGGCGATGTTAAGTCTTTAAATGCGGTAGAAATGGCAGGTTTATCCTTTAAGAGAGTCCAACAATGCCACGTTGGATTCCATGGTACAGTAATTATTGATTCAGCTAATCTTACATCAATTCTTTGCGAGAATGTCTTGCTGTCAGGAACCCTGCGGATCGGGAACTTGTCAATAGGCTCATCTTGGAATAGTCTACACGTAAACGGTACGAACGGGAAATTTTATTTCGAGACTTCAGAGCCACTGAACATCAATCAGATACGGGTCAGCGGATTAATCGACACTGGATCAGCGATTGGTCCTAGTGCCCCGCTAACCAGCGACACATTCACCATCGAATCAGGAGGAGAAGTAAATATCCACTTTCAACCCCAATCTGCCATAACTGTCGATGGAGCCATC